CATCCCCCCAGGACCTACCAGCACACGGTCAAAGGCTGACGGGGTCCCTCCGCGCTGCACGTGGCCAAGGACAGTGACCCGCGTGTCAAAGCCCAAGCGTTGTACCACAAGCTGAAGAGAGAGGACGTCACGCCAGGGACCCACCGGCCACCACGGGTACCGGAGCAGGTGCTGGAGTGGGCACTTACGTCTTTCACGTAGTTGGAGGAGATGGGTTTGCCGCTGCGGTCGATGGCACCCTCGGCGATGATGATGATGTTGAGCCGCGACCCTCTGCTGCGTGTCTGGGGTGGAAAACAGCCACCGCGGCTTAGCCAAAACTCACCAGCGGCTGAGTCTGAGCATCCTTCTCCCCCCTCCGGCCTCACTGATTGCTGCCCAGGGGGTGGCTCAGGTTCTGGGCGGCCGAGCCCCTGAGCCAGCACTGCCCCTGGCACCCGAGGGCTTGATTTGTGCTCGGCTGAGTGCCCCATTTCACAGGGACAATGGCAGGAGCTCCCGAAGCTTCGCAGGGGCCAGGCACCAGGCACGGGGCTCAGCCTGGGTCCCTGCAGGGACTCTCTGGGAAGAAAAGGGGGATGGGACTGTAGGAACCCCCCCCTCACCTCCCCGAGCCTCTCGCACATGAGGTCCTCCCAGCCGTCCTCCGGAGGAGATTCGGGGATGAAGAGCCAGTCGGCGCCCGAGGCCAAGCCGGACACCAGTGCCAGGTACCTGGGGAGACATGACAGTGGCAGCACCAGCACTGGTCCTGGCCTCGAAAGTGGCACCCACCAATTGGCTTCCCCACCCACAGGGGCTTACCCACAGTGGCGGCCCATCACCTCCAGCACGAACGTCCGCTGGTGGCTGCAAGGACATGGATGAGAGGAGAAGGAGAGTGAGTGCTATGCCCGGGGTGGTCCAGCACCCAGAAGCCAGCACGCTTACCTCTGTGCCGTGGTGGTGATGGCGTCGATCACCTCCATGATGCGGTGCAGTGCTGAGTCAGTGCCAATAGTCATGTCAGTGCCACAGAAATCGTTGTCGATGGAGCCCACCAGCCCCACGATGTTCAGGCGACAGTTCTCCTGTGCCACCTCCTCACTGATCTGCCCTGCATGGGGGGGATGACCACACCACCGGTTATTTTATGGTGCTTTCATTCGCCCCGCAGCATCAGGCTGGATCCTGCAGAGCAGCAAAGGAGCCCAGCCCTCCCTGGGGGTCATAGTGATAGGGTGGACCTCTGGACCTCAATACGCCTTGAATTCTTTTGTCTCTCCCCACCCAGGGGTTTTGGGAGGGGGGTTCACCCACCATCTTGGACTAGCTCCTCCAGCAGCCCGCCCCACTCGGAGCG